CAGGAGGCAACGTGGGGGCGACCCCAGGGTGGGCGTGGGGGCCGCTAGGCCCCATTGGTCAGGTGGGGCAGCCTGGTGCGCTGGGGCCTGGGCTGTCTCTGGCTCCCCAGAAGGCTTGATAAGGCCGTGCGGTGAAATGCAGAGGAGGGACCCCAGCCGTGTAGCACATTCCAGATGTGCCACATCCACCAGTTCTGCCGTGCCCGCCAGTCTTTGATCCCTCTGCCTGTGGCAGACTTAGGCTTCACTGCCCCCATCAACGTGCCAGGATGCTTCAGGGCCCAGGCATGCACAACTGCGCAGGACACCGGCTCCCTCGGCCACAAAGCAGGAGTTCAAGTAGCTTGGGCCCAGGGCCCTCTGCCGTTGGTGTCAGCACCAGGAGCATCAGTGTGCAGGGGTGACCATTAACCACACAGCCTCCATCCACCTCCCAAGTGTTTGCTCCATGGTCAAGTGCCACCTGCACACTGCCCACCAGGTGACCAGGATGGTGTCCCAGGGCCCCTGCATGGCCCAGGTATGGCTGAGCCAGTTCTGCGTAAACAGCCATTGTGCAGTGCCACACAGCAGGCCAGCTTCATCCTCCATTTCAGCCCAGGGGGCTGGCTCCCCTCCAGAGCAGCTGCTGAGCCATGCCCGGTAAGGCCTCCAGCTCCATCCTCCCTCAGCCTCTGGCAGCAGCTGCCCACCCAGTGGCAGGGAGACTGACAGCCCCGGTGCCATCCAAGGCAGGCAGGGTGCTTTTGGGGACCATGCTTTTCTCTGCACCAGCCTGGGAAAGCTGAGCATCCAGCTGAAATTGAGGGCCTGTTGCAGAGCTCCTTGTGTCCTGGAGCTGGTGCTGCTTTTCCTTGCTTTGAGTTTATCATGCTGGGGCAGGTTGGGCATGGGCAAACAGCTGTTAGCAGAGCTCTTAGGGAGCATGAGGCTAAAGGAAACTAAAGATGTTGGGCCGATTTCTTCCCTCCCACCACACAGGACAGCCAGGCTAAAAATAATCCTTTGCCTCATATTATGCATGAAAATAAAGGAGATTAAAAAGAGAGTGGTTCTGGATCATAGCAGTTAAGGACCTGCTTGGGTTAAAATCATAGATTTTGTTAAAAGCAAAGATTGTGTACCTTGGAGGGGAGAATATAACCAGTGCCACTGTCTGGGAAATCCCATGGAAAATAAGTCATGTACCCTTCACAGTGGCGGAGACTAATCAGCATGATGAGCTACTGAAAGAGGCAGTAGCATCCCAAGTACTTGAAGGCTGTCCAGCCTGCTCCACCATATCCCCCTATGCAACCTAGGAGCTGGGTTTCAGCCAGCATGTGCCTCCAGGATGGCCTGGCCAGGAGTCTCAGGAGTACTTTGGCTAGGAGTCTGCGGGTTTGGAACAAACCAGGCACATAGGATGGGAGAAGAGTCTATGAAACCCCCCACCTTTTCAGCCATCCACAGCTGTTTGGGGAAGTGGGGGCGGGGGGCGCAGAAAGGTGCCCAAGGGGAATCCCAGCAACTTCCTGATGGCCCTGCCTGTTCCTCCATGCAGGATGGTTCCCCCACCACCTGTCAGCAAGCCCCACGTGTGCCTCTCCACTGTGCTCATCATGACCAGCCTCGTCCTCATGGATGCCTACCTGGTGGAGCAGAGCCAGGGGTCCAGGAAGCTGGGCATCTGTGTCATGGTAGCAGTGGGTGACGTGTGCTTCTTACTGGTGCTCCGCTACGTGGCCATCTGGGTTGGGGCAGAGGTAAAAACAGCTAAGCGGGGCTATGCCATGATCCTCTGGTTCCTGTACGTCTTCGTTCTGGAGATCAAGGTCTACTTTGTATACCAGAATTATAAAGCTGACCGGAAAAGCCTGGATCTCATAGCCCGCAAAGCACTGACTTTGCTGCTCTCCATCTGCATCCCAGCCCTCTACGTGTTGTTGGTGGCCACAGAGCACATGGAATACGTCAGGACATTCAAGAAGAAAGAAGATCTCCGCAACCGCCTCTTTTGGGTCATTGTGGACATGCTGGACGTGCTGGACATCCAGGCCAACCTGTGGGAGCCCCAGAAGAAGGGGCTGCCGCTCTGGGCTGAGGGCATCATGTTCTTCTACTGCTACATCTTGCTGCTGGTCCTCCCTTGCGTGTCCCTCTGTGAGATCAGCATGCAAGGGATCGGCATTATGCCACACCGGATGATGCTGTATCCAATGCTGAGCATGCTCACTGTCAACATCACCACCATCTTCATCCGAGGCAGCAACATGGTCTTCTTCAGGGATGCCCGTGTCTCCAGCATCTTCATGGGCAAGAACATGCTGGCCATTGGGCTTAAGGTCTGTATGTTTGTGCAGTACCAGCGGCACCGGCACCACACGCCCCTGGGGCCAGACCTGGCCCTGCAGCACAGCACCCAGACCCAGCCCTCCACAGGGCTGCATAAGTCCCGGGACCAGCCTGCCTGCCCTGAGGAGCTAGCCCAGGACAACACATGACAAGCCAGCAGGAACCACAGCCTGGGCACCGCTATGTCTGGCTGTACCTGCAAATCCGAAGTGGGCTACTGAGCTCCCCACCTGGACAGAGGACAATGACCCTGCTCCCTCCTTCCCTGGGTGAAGCTGCTTTGGTCCTGGAGGGAGGCATGGGAAGGCCCCACCCATAGCAGCCTCCATAAGGCTGCAGAGCAGTTTGGGACCTCAGCACCCCACCGAGTGAGACGGGCAGCAGAGCAGAGGAGGACAGGTTTGCCTGCTGCACACCATGTCTGGCTGGGGCCAGGCAGCCCTACCCTGCACCAGGCTCCCCCCAACCCATGCTCCCTACACAGCACCACCCTCTGGCTAGCCAGGGCTCAGGCTGGGGGGCTGCACAGGGACACTGCAGGTCACCCGCTCCGCTGTTGTTGTTGGCCCTGGCTCCAGCTCAGTGCTTGGCAGCAGCCTGCACCCCACTGCATAAGCCAGGGTCCCCATGCTGGGGGAGCAAGACCCGGGCCTCCCCCACCTGCCACCTCTCTCAGCCAGCTGCAGGGCTGGGAGGGGCCAGAGGGGATGACTGTCCTTTTTCATATCTCCCTCTTTGCAATAAAAGACCTGAGCCCTGCAGCCTCCTCATGTCTGTATCCCTGCTGGCAGGCAGGTCCCCCCAGCTCCCATGGGTGCCTATCTCTCATGTGCACTTGGGTGTCCCTGCTGTGGCTGCAGAGCACATTGTAGGTGGGGGACTCGCTCAGTGACTGCCTGGGCCTGGGGAGAGCATACCAGGAACCTGGGTCTGAAGCCATTCCTCCTGGCCAGCAGTTGGGAGAGGAGAGGCAAGGTCCTTGTGAGAGTCTGGTGGGAGTATGTGTGGAAGCTTTGTCAGCCACCACTGCCTGTGCAACCAGCTGCAGTCGTATCAACTGGTGCCAGTCATGCCCAGTGGCTGCTGTCCCCAGGGACACCCATAGCAAGTCCCCAGACTCCACCTGGAGGGACACCAGAGCAGGTCTGGCAGAGACACACTGCTGAGACAACATCAGAAACAGAAGAAAATAACCCAACTGACTCAATTGAGGCTGGGAGGCCATGGGGAAGAGCAGCTCCCCTGGCAGTAGAAAGCTCTCCGGCAATGTTGGAAGCATTTCCTCCTGTTGGAGCTGGTGTTACCATGCTGCTGCATGCCCCTAACACTCAGTACCAGCACAACACTGGCTGAGCTGGGCAATGCCCCAGGGCTTCCCCTGCTGTGAGGTACCAGGTCCAGGAGCTGGCTGGGAGACAGGCCAGTAGACTTGATGTCCTCCTTGCAGGCAAGCACACAAACCTCAACAGGCAGGAGCTATTTGGCTCCAGAGGGGCAGGAGGGGAAAGCAGGACCCACTCTGGGGGTACACTATATTTGTTTCCTGCTGGGTAGGACCTACCAGCAGCTGAGGAAGGGAATATATAGACTCAGGAATGCTGCCCCTCAAGCAAGGCCCTGGCAGCAGCCACACAGTGGTAAGCACCTCCAGCCTGTCCAGGCCTCAGTCTTCTTCCCTTCTTGCATTAAAGTACAGGTTTGTTCAGCTTTGGATTAAAAAATGAGAGCATAAAACAGCAGACTAACATCACAAAGGGGTGAGAATAGCCTTGGGCTTTGGTGCTGCCACACCACTCCCAAGATAATTCTGCTCTGAAGGCACAAGGATGTGGCAGACTCTACATCCCACATCAGGAGGCAAGAAAAGGAGGAAGCAGCAGCCAGGCATAGTGCAAAGCAGTAAGCCACAGGCCAGTTAAAGACAGCTGAGGATTTCCACATGGTCTCTAGCCGAGCCAGCACATCTCATTTCTACCGCCTTCCCCCAGTTACAGTAAAATCTGTCACCAGAGCAGAACTCACATCACCCACAGGAACTGCAGTGGAGGCAGATGCTTCAGCAACACCCTCTAGGTGGGCATGATAGAGTTGCTCATCATCCCATTTCTTGCTCATTGCAAGACCTTTCCCCAGGCCCCACAGACCAGCTGCCCAGCTACCCACAGCACAGCTGTGCCCAGGGAGCAAGCTGCCATGCAGAGCTGAGGCACTGTCCCAGCACACACTATGACCTGTTGGACAGACTGTCTGGGTCACATCTGCATCACCTCCTTGTCAGCACAGCCACAGGAGACGGGGGCAATCGGGGTGAGGAGAAACAAGAGAGCTGGTGGTCAAACAATGTCAGGACAGAGGCATGAACACCGATAAATTCGAACACTTTGACTGTAACAGTACTGACACTGGGAATAAAGGAGAAACTAAGGTATTTTATTTTGTAAAGAATCAGTTTCCTAGAAGCACTAATAGCCCTGCAGAGATCACCTTGAGAAGCCAAGAAGAGAGGCAGCCCTGCTGGAGAGATCCCCTGCAGAGTACCTGAACACAGTCAGCAGGATGCCTTGGCTGCAAGGAAGGCCAGCCACAGCAGGGGCTGCATCACAAGGGCGCAGCCCACAGAGGGGCATGATCCTCTCTCCTTTACTCAGCACTTGTGAGACTACATCCAGATACTGCATCCAGGCTGGACCCCCAGAAGATAGGTGCTGGTCCTCTGGGCTGACTCCAGTTGAGGATGTGAAAGTTGTCAGAGGCTGGAACACTGCAAGGAAAGGCTGAGGGAACAGGTTTATTCACCCTCAGGAAGAGAAGGCTTTGGGGAGACCTAACAGCACCCCTTTCCTCCCACCCCAGATCTATTACAAGGCTACCATGAAGACTGAGCTAGGCACCTCACTGAGAACAAGACAATGATTATGGACTAAAACCAGGCACGTTTCCTGGAGGAGGGGAAAAAAAACTTCAACTTGAAACAGTGGAGCAGAGGCCAAGAGAGGTGATGGCATCTGTCCTTGGACATTACCAGACCCAACTGAAGAAGCACTGGGCAACCTGGTCTGAAGTCAGTGCTAGCCCTGCTCCGAGCAGGCACTGTACCAGAGCCCTCCCACCTGAGGTCCTTTCCCACTTCAGTTGGTCTCTGGTAAGACCTGGAGTAGAGCCAGCAATGCAGGGTAGGGCTTGTGCTGTCCTAGCTACAGGAAGAGATGAGGAGGTGCAAGGACAGAGACAGCTGTCAACACCATGTGCATCTGCATGATGTAAACCACAGACAAAGAGGGCATTTCAGCTACAAAAAGCATTATTTCCTTCAGTTCAGCCTCTGCTCTGCTGCCTAACAGCATCACTGCACAGTGAAAGGCAGATACTGGGGAGACAGCTGTCTTCCAGGCCTGGCCAGGGCAGAGTGAGTCCCAGGTGCCAGACAACAGCATGTCTGGCCAGCAGTCACAAGTTCTTCTGTGAGGGCAGACGGCGCTTATCTTTGATGGCATTCCTCTTCCTCTTCTTGTTCAGGAAGCTCTCCAGTTTTCCACTCCTCTTCAGCTCTGCATACTTCTCAGCTAGGTCCAATTTCCGCTTCTCAGCTGTTGAGGAGGGGAGCAAGGTTTTAAACTGAAGCCTGAATCATCTCTACACACCAGCCCCTTTTCACCTCTCCCTCCTTGGCTCCAGGCCTGGCTTTTCCCTTGAGTACCTGTGCTAGAACAATCCCTCCACAGCTCTGTAGAGTATTATGGATAACTCACTTCCAGTGCTTGGAGCCTGTCAGCAGTACTCCCTCTAGGTCTTCCTACAGCATGTTCATGCTGAAGACTTACATTTCTTTAGGAAGAAGGGTTTCTTTCCCTGCTTGGCCAATTCCCTCTGTTGTCGCTTCAAAGACAGTTCCCTCTCCCTCAATTTCTGCTGTTTTTTCTGTGCCCGTTCTTGCTGTGTCTGTACAGAAAAGATGGGCTGTGTCAGCAAGTGTCTGGCAGACCTCATGTCACACATCCCCTCCTCTAGTACATTGCCTCACAGGAGAGGACCCCCAGTGCTGCAGTGAACTCACCATGCGGTTCAGGAGCTGCTGGAATCTCTCCTTCTGCTCCATGTTCCGGCATTTTTTCAGCTGCTTCTGAATCATCTGAAGAAGAGAGCAGAAAGCTGCATGACTGCCTGCCTACCACCTCCACTGTAAAAGGCCTTTGCAGAAGCTGTCCCTGCCAAGCAATGTTCTTCTGGCCAAGGACAGGCACACAGCATCACCTCCTTCTCCTGCTTCTTGATGCTGTCCAGAAAGCTGTACGTCTTCATAAATATTTCAGGCTTATACTCTCCAGACAGGTCATCAAATCGAGGGTCTCTGTGGACCTGAAGGCAGGGAAGGCGAAGGTTAAGAGCTGTGGCCAGGATTACCTTGGTTAATAGCCTGCTTACTCTCCTTCCATGATGGATCAGACCTTGCCATTTTTTTTTTTTACTAGAATATTATGCACCCACCATTGAAAACATCTGCAGTTGGCAAAGACTGAGTCCAATAATCAAGGTGCCAGTCCCACACAAAGTCATCATGCCTGCACCCAGTCTACCAAGCAAGAGACATTTCCATATAGAAGTCTACCACCCAGGAGTAGCCAGTTCAAGGAATAGCAGCTTGAGTGCTGCCTCCAAACACCTGCAACTCCCAGATCAAGAGCTGGCTGAAAATGTGTTGTCAAGGTGATGGATTTGGAAATTCAAACCTATCTAGATTTTCAGATTACGTGGGTCAGGTCATACAAAAAGACAGAGACAAAAAGAGATCTCTAACTGGGGAAATTAACATATTAAGATGATCCATTAATGATAAGTCAAAGTTATATCCAGACTAGAAACTAGATGGCCATTTGAACTTCCAGTGTGATGAGTACTGAACAGCGACCATAGCTTGCTGTACAATTGTCATTGGTGGCAGCCATTACATCTTCTAGACACACTGGGGTCTCAAATGCTTGAGTTACTCCTCAAATTGTACATTATGCAAGGCAGCAGATTATACAGAGAGCTGTTACTCCTGCACCCAATCTTGTTCTCCCCAGAGACACATTAGCACTACCTGTGCTCACCAGATAGTGGTCCAAACCCTATCCTCCAGAACAGACACAGGCTGTGTCATCTTCAGCAG